TGTAAAGTCCATGGAAAATAAGAGCACTTCCTCCAGCTGCCCACTGCACTGAGGCTAGGAAACACTATCACCACCGATAAATCTACAATAATCGAGAATTTCAACAAGCATTTTGCTACGGCTGGCCATGCCTTCCACCTGGCTACCACTACCCCGGCCACCAGCTCTGCACCCTCCGCTGCAACTTGCCCATGCCCCCCCCCCGCTTCTCCTTCACACAAATCCAGACAGCTAATGTTCTGAAAGAGCTGCAAAATCTGGACCCCTACAAATCATCTGGGCTAGACAATCTGGACCCTTTCTTTCTAAAACTAGCCGCCAAAATTGTCGCAACCCCTATTACTAGCCTGTTCAACCTCTCTTTCGTAACGTCTGAGATCCCCAGAGATTGGAAAGCTGCCGCAGTCATCCCCCTCTTCAAAGGGGGTGACACTCTAGATCCAAACTGTTACAGACCCATATCCATCCTGCCCTGCCTTTCAAAAGTTTTTGAAAGCCAAGTCAACAAACAGATCACCGACCATTTCGAATCCCACCGTACCTTCTCCGCTATGCAATCCGGTTTCCGAGCTGGTCATGGGTGCACTTCAGCCACGCTCAAGGTCCTAAACGATATTATAACCGCGATCGATAATAGACAGTACTGTGCAGCCGTTTTCATTGACCTGGCCAAGGCTTTCGACTCTGTCAACCACCGCATTCTTATTGGCAGACTAAATAGCCTTGGTTTCTCAAATGACTGCCTCGCCTGGTTCACCAACTACTTCTCAGATAGAGTTCAATGTGTCAAATCGGAGGGCCTGTTGTCTGGACCTATGGCAGTCTCTATGGGGGTGCCACAGGGTTCAATTCTTGGGCCGACTCTTTTCTCTGTGTATATCAATGACGTCGCTCTTGCTGCTGGTGACTCTCAGATCCACCTCTACGCAGACGACACCATTTTGTATACATCTGGCCCTTCATTGGACACTGTGTTAACAAACCTCCAAACAAGCTTCAATGCCATACAACACTCCTTCAGTAGCCTCCAACTGCTCTTAAACACTAGTAAAACTAAATGCATGCTCTTCAACCGAACGCTGCTTGCACCCGCCCACCCGACTAGAATCACTACTCTCGACGGGTCTGACCTAGAGTATGTGGACAACTACAAATATCTAGGTGTCTGGTTAGACTGTAAACTCTCCTTCCAGACTCATATTAAGAATCTCCAATCCAAAGTTAAATCTAGAATCAGTTTCCTATTTCGCAACAAAGCCTCCTTCACTCATGCTGCCAAACATGCCCTCGTAAAAAACTGACTATCCTACCGATCCTTGACTTCGGCGATGTCATTTACAAAATAGCCTCCAACACTCTACTCAGCAAATTGGATGTAGTCTATCACAGTGCCATCCGTTTTGTCTCCAAAGCCCCATATAATACCCACCACTGTGACCTGTACGCTCTTGTTGGCTGGTCCTCTCTACATATTCGTCGCCAAACCCACTGGCTCCAGGCCATCTATAAATCCCTGCTAGGCAAATCCCCGCCTTATCTTAGCTCATTGGTCACCATAGCAACACCCACCCGTAGTCTGCGCTCCAGCAGGTATATCTCACTGGTCATCCCCAAAGCCAACACCTCCTTTGGCCGCCATTCCTTCCAGTTCTCTGCTGCCAATGACTGGAACGAAATGCAAAAATCTCTGAAGCTGGAGACACTTATCTCCCTCACTAACTTTAAGCATCAGTTGTCACAGCACCTTACCGATCACTGCACCTGTACACAGCCCATCTGAAACTAGCCCGCCCAACTACCTCATCCCTATATTGTTATTTATTTTGCTCATTTGTACCCCAGTATCTCTATTTGCACATCATCTCTTGCACATCTATCATTCCAGTGTTAATACTAATTGTAATTATTTTGCACTATAGCCTATTTATTGCCTTACCTCCATAACTTGCTAAATTTGCACACTGTATATTATATGTATTTCTGTTGTATTTTTGACTTTGTTTTGTTTTACCCCATATGTAACTCTGTGTTGTTGTTTATATCGCACTGCTTTGCTTTATCTTGGCCAGGTCGCAGTTGTAAATGAGAACTTGTTCTCAACTGGTTTACCTGGTTAAATAAAGGTGAAATAAAATAAATAAATAAATAAAAAAACAGGATTTGTATAGCTCTTCATAAGTTCTGTAAAGCGTCTAAAACAATCTCTGCTTTTTATGATAGCACTCCATTCCCATAGCGTGATGTTTACCCCTGACCCTGAACTTGCCCTAGCAACAACATTCCTAATCCTGTCTTCCCACAAACTCAGTATCAGGGGGTGAGGTGTCAGACAATAAAACCAGACATGTCTAAAAACAATGTGGCAATTATGGTTGCAGGTTTCTGAGAACTTTCTGCTGTCAAGGCCTCCATAGTTTTTAATAATGTAAGCAAATGCGCATAATAGATAATATATTCCCCACCATTTTTTTTAAAGGTACAGTATCTGTGACCAACAGATGCATATCTGTATTCCCAGTCATGTGAAATCCATAGATTAGGGCCTAATGAATTAATTTAAATTGACTGATTTCCTTATATGAACTGTAACTCAGTAAATTCTTTGAAATTGTTGCATGTTGCGTTTATATTTTTGTTCACTATATATTGTAATAGAGTTTTATTTTAATGATAACATTTGCCTAGGAACTCACTTGGTGAAAGCCACAGGCTTTTTAAAGCAAAGAATTGAACAACCATGTCTGTTTCACTAACAAATACAGTCATAGGTGGTATCTCTACAATTCACTCAAAAAGAAAAGGTACCCTGGGAAATATGCAAATTAAGCTTTACACCATACACCATTTCATTATATTTCACTCCACTGTAGATTGAAATTGTGTGATTTTTCACCCCACAGTAGAATAAGTGAATTTTTTATTTGACTACAGAGTAGAGTGAAATACTAATTAGTTCACGCCAGTGTATAGTGAATTTCACACAGCCAGTGTTAATTTCCTACTCTGTATAGGGTTACAGAAACACTTTCTAAATGTTAACATTTCAACACTTTAACCCTTAGCCTTATTTGATCATCTAACACAGGAGTAGTCAACTTTAATCCTGGAGAACAGCAGGTATTTCAGGTTTTTGGGTCAACATTTTTTGCTTTAGAACTTGGAGGCCAAGTAGGTGGAATTTAACCAATCAGTGATTTGATCAATTATCTCCGTTGGTGAGTTAATTAGTAACATCAGGTGTGGTGGTGCAGTACCTGCTGGGGCACTCCAGGACCAGGGTTCTAATCCCTGCTTTAACCAAACAATCACCCAATCACATAAAGCCACCATGTCAATCAGGACCAATCAGAGTGAGCCTCGAGTCGAGTCGAGGTGCTGATCCACAGGAGACGAGTCCAGGTGTGTTTTGCTGCCATGTCAATCTCTCTCACACACACACACACACACACACACACAAACACGTACGTATGCACGCACATACACACACACACTCAGGGGTGGTAACAGAGACATCTGGTTGAGGTTTCCTCTGCTCTTTTTGGGCGGCAGGTAGCCTAGTGGGTAGAGCGTTGGGCCAGTAACCGAAAGGTTGCTGGCTCGAATACCTGAGGTCACATCTGCTATGTATTCTACACTCTATTCACGGTAATGCAAGAGTTCCAACACATCTTTATCCAATCAGATCAAAACATGCACGCACACATGCACAAACACACATACAGAGAGCGGAACACATCATACATCAGATAAGAGGGCAGAGAAATCACAGGACGGGACGGAGCAGCACGTGGAAACAGAGTGAATCAGAACCAGGTTATACATCAAACACATCTCCAGGATAATCACACACATCTGTTGAGTCATTATCACACACACACACATTAGAGAGAACTCAAATACTGATAGGTATGTGGACGTTCAAAGACACACACTAATGCGTGCACACCTGGACGTAGATGTTAATCCTGTGTAATTACAGTAGATGCCATATTTGTATTTATTCGGAAGTGGAGTAAAGCCTGATTACTGAAGGGAATGTGTGTGTTTGTGTGTGCATGTGCATGCGTGTGTGTGTGCCCACCCTCTGTTAGTAGGTTAGTGAAAGATTGCCGGGGCTGCAGATAAGAGGATTTGAGGGGAATTTGTGTCATTCTTTCAGCGGAGGAATATATTTATATTGATTTTAATCAAAGAGAGACAGATTCACTGAACCACAGATAATATAGAGGGGTGGAGAGATGGAGAGAGGCAGAGGTGTCAGAGGTAAACAGAGAAAGAGAGAGCAAGCGACTAACAAGAGGAGAGAGAATATTAGAGAGAATATAGAGGTTCTCCAAAACAAAAACACACAACAATCTGGCCAGGTGTTTCTACACGTGAAGAGGAATCAGAGAGAGAGTGAAAAAAAGAAGGGATGGAGCTGAAAGATCAACGGAACATCAGGACACTTTTATGAGGAGGAAGAGTTAACAACACACACATCACATCTTGGAGTATTTTAAGAAATGCAGCTGTGTGGTGAGTGATCATCGACCACAACCATCAACACTGAAACGAGAACCACAACCATCAACAAGGTCCACAACCATCAACACAGCAACAAGGTCCACAACCATCAACACAGCAACAAGGACCACAACCATCAACACAGCAACAAGGACCACAACCATCAACACTGCAACCAGGACCACAACCATCAACACAGCAACAAGGACCACAACCATCAACACAGCAACAAGGACCACAACCATCAACACAGCAACAAGGACCACAACCATCAACCCCAACCCCTGACGGTGACCGGTGATTGGAGCAATCATAGTTCTATTGGAGTCCCTGCTTTAAGTGACCATCATACATTTTTCTAATATGCTTTTATTAGTTAATGGATCCCTCGACTCCCTGGAAAAACAGTGACACATGTTATTACTCTGTGGACTATACTGGCTACATAAAGATGAACTGAACTCCTGACCTCTAACCCCAACCCTGACCGCATCATGAACGTGGTCCTTCTGGCCGTGAGGTGGCTGTGCTTGGTTTGGGCCGTGGCATGGCCTGTAACCATGGTGACAGGGATCCGTAACCCAGGACGATGGAGGCACAAAGATGTTTATGTGGGGAAGAACAGACACCGAGGGTAGGAGGACACATACTGTGGGCACGCATGCATCAGGGTTGGGGTCAATTCCTTTTGAATTCCAGTCAATTCAGAAAGTACACTGAAATTCAAATTCTCTCCAATGTTTTTAAATTAGGAAAATGTGGAATTGTAATTGGGTTTACTCTCTGAATTGAAATGGAATTGACCCCAACCCTGGCATGCACACACATCACTCCCATAACCCTGTAAACCCCATACATCCATAACCCTATACATCCTGTAATTCAGTGGTTCTCAAACCTCTCCTGGGGACACACAACCGTTCCATCTATTTTATCTATTCAGGGCTACAACAAAATTGTGAAATGTCTGGCGGTCCCGAGGAGAGGTTTGAGAACCATTGCTGTAATTTATCCATTGTTCTTACTCCCTGACCTGGGTTTCCCCTTGGCTTCCAGCTATATCAGTCTTCATCAAGTTATGTAGTGCCGGCCCAGAAGGAATCAAGAGACATCTTGCTCAACTATCGCAGTGTGTTGGGGTGTTTGTGTTTTATATAATGTGTGTTGTCCTTCCAGGCGTATAGACCATAAACTGACAAGGCAGGACAGCACCAAGTCTCTACTCATTAAGACTGAACAGCTGCTGAGGATCGAGGAGCACGACTTCGCTATGAGACCTGGCTTTGGAGGTCAGAAACACACGTCCACCATACACAGGAAACACTAAAACTAATCCAATCAGTCATTCTCTGTCCCCCTTTGATGATGCGTACGATGGCTGTGCTATGAGAGGATCTGCAGGCCACTGGGTTATCCCCTTGTCCATATTGAGCTACATCGTCTGCCAGAGACCCAGACAGACAAACATTTTCGGAACAGAGGTTCAGAGAGGATTCCAACCAGTTCAGGATGATTTGAGCCTTGGCGGTAGAAATATATTGTAGAGCCATGTTGACAGTATAAATATATTGTGGACAATATACAGTATAGAGTAGTAGAGCAGTGGTCACCAACCCTGATCCTGGAGGGCTATATGTTGTGCAGGTTTTAGTTCCAGCCCAGGTTTCAATACACCTGATTCAGTTAGTGAATAGTCTTGACCGTAGCCTGTACACCCTGCAGCTTTCCAGGACCAGGGTTGTAGACCACCAGAGAACAGCCCTGATCATCATCAGTGTGATGTTGTGTGTGGTCGTAGCAGGAATTTGAGGGTGTTTGTATTTGTTTCTCTGGTTTGGTGGTTTGGGTCGCGGTGAGGAGCTCCGCCGGTCCTGACGATATGTGTGTGTTCTCAGGTGCAGCCATCCCTGTAGGCATTGATGTTCAGGTGGAGAGCATCGACAGCATTTCAGAGGTCAACATGGTATGAGCCTGTGTACCTTTGGTGTATAATCTATACACGTGTCTGTGTGTATTTAATCATGAGTGTATGTTCTGCTCAGGACTTCACCATGACCCTGTACTTGCGTCACTACTGGAAGGATGAGCGGCTGGCGTTTCCATCTCGTAGCAACGTGAGCAGGACGTTTGACGGGCGTCTGGTGAAGAAGATGTGGGTTCCTGACGTGTTCTTCGTCCACTCCAAGAGGTCCTTCATCCACGACACCACCATGGAGAACATCATGATCAGGGTCTATCCTGATGGAAGCATACTCTACAGCGTCAGGTAGAGCATCAGTGTGTGTGTTACTATATGTAGGTGTACTGTATTTTATCTATTGGCATATGATTATTATGTGGTTGTTATAGGATCACAGTGACTGCTCTCTGCTCCATGGACTTCAGCAGCTTCCCTCTGGACACACAGAACTGTTCACTGGAACTAGAGAGCTGTGAGTCACACACACACATCACGCACCAGCACACACACATATTTACCTAAATATACCTGCACCCGCACTAACAATCTGATTGCTGATTGATTGGTTACAAAAATAGACACCAAACTCTCTCTCTCTCCCCCTCCTCCCTCTCTCCATCCCCCTTCCTAGATGCGTATAATGAGAATGATCTGATGTTGTATTGGAAGAATGGCAACGACTCTCTGAGGACAGATGAGATGGTTCTCTCTCAGTTCTTCATCAAGAAGTTCCACCCTTCCAGCGGCCTCGCCTTCTACAGCAGCACAGGTCTGTCTGGATATTTGTGTGTGTGTTCTGCGTTCCATGTGTCTCATCTCTTGTACCATTTAGATCAGGGGTACTCAACTACTATTTGAGAAGGTCCGGTCACACAAATTTCCTCGGTGGCAAAGATCCAGATGGATATTGTCATTTATCGGCGTGGTAACAAACCCCCACCCAGTTTTAAAGCTAATTTCCTGCAATACTACACATTTTGCCATGTCTTATGTGTGTTCATATGATGCCTGAGTGACTCAACAAAATCAATGGGGGCCCCTGGGGGTCGAGGCCCTTGGGCACGTAATCTGGCCATGATAAATACAATATTTAGATAGCTGGTTAGCCTAACGTACCTATCTAGCTAGCATGGGCTAGATGATCAACTGGACATTTGACAGGTTATAAATAGGGCTTTCAGTGAATGACATAACAAGAGGAAAACTGCTCATGCACTACCAAATTTCGAAATTGCACCTTGTGCATTACAGTGCCTTCAGAAAGTATTCACACCCCTTGACTTTTTCCACGTTTTGTTGTGTTACAGCCTGAATTTAAAATGGATTAAATTGAGATGTTGTGTCACTGGCCTACACACAATACACCATAATGTCAAAGTGGAATGATGTTTTTCAAAACGTTTACAAATTCATTAAAAACGAAAAGCTGAAATGTCTTGAGTCAATAAGTATTCAACCCCTTTGTTATGGTAAGACTAAATAAGTTCAGCAGTAAAAATGTGCTTAACAAGTCACATAATAAGTTGAATGGACTTACTCTAATAGTAGTGTTTAACATGATTTTTGAATGACTACCTAATCTCTGTACCCCACACATACAATTATCTGTAAGGTCCCTCAGTCGAGCAGTGAATTTCAAACACAGATTCAACCACAAAGACCAGGGAAGTTTTCCAATGCCTTGCAAAGAAGGGCACCTATTGGTAGATGGGTACCAAAAAAAAGCAGACATTGAATATCCCTTTGAGCATGGTGAAGTTATCAATTACACTTTGGATGGTGTATCAATACACCCAGTCACTACAAAGATACAGGCATCCTTCCTGACTCAGTTGCCGGAGAGAAAGGAAACTGCTCAGGGATTTATTTCACCATGAGGCCAATGGTGACTTTAAAACAGTTACAGAGTTGAATGGCTGTGATAATAGAAAACTGAGGATGGATCAACAACATTGTAGTTACTCCACAATACTAACCTAAATGACAGAGTGAAAAGAAGGAAGCCTGTACAGAATAAAAATATTCCAAAACATGCATCCTGTTTTGGAATAAGGCACTAAAGTAAAACTGCAAAGAACTGAACTTTATGTCCTGAATAAAAAGTGTTATGTTTGGGGCAAATCCAACAGAACATATCACTAATTACCACTCTTCATATTTTCAAGCATGGTGGTGGCTGCATCATGTTATGGGTATGCTTGTCATCTGCAAGGACTAGGGATTTTTTGGGGATAAAAATAAATGGAATAGAGCTAAGCACAGGCAAAATCCTAGAGGAAAACCTGGTTCAGTCTGCTTTCCAATGGACACTGGGAGATGAATTCACCTTTCAGCAGGACAATAACCTAAAACACTAGTGCAAATATATACTGGAGTTTGTTACTAAGACAACATTGAATGTTCCTGAGTGGCCTAGTTACAGTTTTGACTTAAATCGGCTTGAAAATCTATGGCAAGACTTAAAAATGGCTGTCTCTAACAATGATCAACAACCAACTTGACAGAGCTTGAAGAATTTTTTAAAGGATCATGTGCAAATATTGTCCAATCCCGATGTGCAAAGCTCTTAGAGACTTATCCAGAAAGACTCACAGCTGTAATCGCTGCCAAAGGTGATTCTAACATGTATTGACTCAGGGGTGTGAATACTTATGTAAATGAGATATTTCTGTATTTCCTTTTCAATCAATTTGCAAACATTTCTAAAAACTTGCTTTCGCTTTGTCATTATTGGGTATTGTGTGTAGATGGGTGAGAAAACAAATATATTTATTCCATTTTGAATTCAGGCTGTAACACAACAAAATGTGGAATAAGTCAAGGGGTATGAATACTTTCTGAAGGCACTGAATACTATTACAATTCTCAATAGCATTAAGTTGAAAGTCCGACTGAGTTCCCCAATTTTCAGGACCCGCGGTCCATATTGACCCCATTTCTGGGTCCGGATCCAGTTGAGCATGGTCCGCCAGTTGAGCATGGCTGATTTAGACCAATATATTGTAGGCTTCTTTTAGAAAAAAATATGTATGGCATTTAGTCTAAACTTTTTTGTCTCACTCTCTCACCCTCTCCCTTTCTTTCTCTCTTTCTCTCCCCCTCTCTCAACCCATCACCTTTCCTTTCTCTCCCCCTCTCTCAACCCATCACCTTTCCTTTCTCTCTCTCTCTCCCCCTCTCTCAACCCATCACCTTTCCTTTCTCTCTCTCTCTCCAGGTTGGTATAACAGGTTGTATATAAACTTCATCCTGAGGAGACATATCTTCTTCTTCATGCTGCAGACATATTTCCCCACCATGCTGATGGTGCTACTGTCCTGGGTCTCCTTCTGGATCGACAGGAGGGCTGTGCCTGCACGTGTCTCCCTGGGTAAACACAAACACACACACCTGGAAACACACCCCTGAAAACACCTTGCTACAGACACACCCAAGTTCACATGATTATACTTCTACATAAAATACATACCATAGGTAATACGCACACTCCTCTCCCTTTAGAGCTCTACAGCCCTAACACGCCTGCCGTCCTCTCCCTTTAGAGCTCTACAGTCCTAACACGCCTGCCGTCCTCTCCCTTTAGAGCTCTACAGCCCTAACACGCCTGCCGTCCTCTCCCTTTAGAGCTCTACAGCCCTAACACGCCTGCCGTCCTCTCCCTTTAGAGCTCTACAGCCCTAGCACGCCTGCCGTCCTCTCCCTTTAGAGCTCTACAGCCCTAACACGCCTGCCGTCCTCTCCCTTCAGGTATCACTACAGTACTGACCATGTCCACCATCATCACTGGGGTGTCCTCCTCCATGCCACAGGTAAGTGACTTAGTGTGTGGGTGGTTGGGTGAGGAACTAGCAAGTTTTCTTGAGTGTTTAACTCTTACTCTGTGTGTGTGTTCCAGGTGTCCTATGTGAAGGCGGTGGACATCTACCTGTGGACCAGCTTCCTGTTTGTGTTCCTGTCAGTTATAGAATACGCTGCTGTCAACTACTGCTCTACGCTGGAGGAGATGAGACGACTGAAGAGAGGAGAGGTCAGAGGTCATCCATATTATACCTGGAAAAGAGAGCGCCTGTCCCTGACAGGATATTTGTTGAGTATTCTCTCTGCACAACACTGCTCTCTAGTGGCCAGATAGAGAAAGGATAACTTCAAGAAATCATCACATTAGTTTATCTCCTAGTCTCCATTTTCAATGTGTATACATCTATAGATACACAGTATATCTATATGGAGATGTATTTATATATATGTGTGTGTGTGTGTGTGTGTCTGTATGTCCCCCCATTCAGCTCCCAACCTTGTACAACGCCAACAAAGCCATGATCTTCGACGGCTGTTTCCATAACAGTGACATTGAGCTGACCCCGTTCCCCCGTCTGCCGACCTCCATGACCTCCAACCATCACAGGACTCCACTCCAGAACCCTGAGGACCCGCCCACCGAGGGGACACGTCTCCGCCGGCAACGGTCGGTGCGGGAGAACGTGGACCTGCTACTTAGCAACAGCTACTTGATCGACTCGTACTCCCGTATGGCCTTCCCTCTGTCCTACCTCCTATTCAATACCATCTACTGGAGTATGTACTCCTCCTAAGGGGCCCTACTGTGTATACTGCTGGGACCCTACTGACTATAACTCCTTCTGAGGGACAGTCCTACTGAGTATGTACGCCTCCTGAGGGACCCTACTGAGTATAGGCACCTTACGGAGTATTGACTCCACCTGAGGGAGGGACCCTACTGAGTATAGGGACCGTACAGAGTATTGACTCCACCTGAGGGAGGGACCCTACATGGACTCCTGAGGGAATCTACTGAGGATACTACTAGGACCCTACTGAGTATGGACTCCTACTCTGGGGAAGTTTATACTACTGGAACCCTACCAAATTCCAAAGGGCACTTTTCTGTGTGTAATCCTCAGATCAATAATAATGTAGCCCTTATTCTGCCCAGACTGAAACAATAAAAGGAATATTAAGAGGGGAACCTTTACTATATCTAATTGTTGAGTGATTTATGATTTTCATATTGTTTTAATTTTGTGGTGAAAAACGGATTACGAAGGAAATAAATTCCACAAATTAAGAAGGCACACTTGTTAATTGAAATCCATTCCAGGTGGTTGAGAGAATGCCAAGAGTGTGCAAAGCTGTCATCAAGGCCAAGGGTGGCTATTTGAAGAATCTCAAATATAAAATATATAAGCACTGTTTTGGTTACTACATGATTCCATATGTGTTATTTCATAGTTTTGATGTCTTCACTATTATTCTACAATGTAGAAAATAGTACAAATAAAGAAAAACCCTTGAATGAGTAGCTGTTCTAAAACATTTGACCGGTAGTGTATATATAAGTATAATTTGTTTGTTTCGTCTCAACAGTGGTGGTGTGGTGGTGGCCATGGTTACAGAAAAGCGTTGTTTAGCTAGCAACATTACATCATAATATTTTGGAGGAGGTATACTTGAAAGGCAGGCGGTCTGAAAAGCAACACACACACTGCTAGGCTAACTAACATATGCAGAGGAGAGTAAGTTAGCCAGGTGAGTTGCTTTGCGAGTGTAAATTGCTAGCTAACGTTAGCTGTTTTAGCTTGAATGAAGGCGAATCAGGTGATTGAGTCAGGTGGCTGGCAAGTGGCAACTCACCAATTTACAGCTGGCCAGTTGTCGACCTGTATATTATCGAAGTTAACTTGAGCTAGCCAGCTAGTCAACTTATGTATGCTAGCTAAAAAAAAACACCCTAAAATAACTAACTTTATCAGTTAAGCTAAGTTAGTCTAAATTGACATGAATGCTCTCATAAAGCCAGCTGACTGATCTTTTAAACCCTGTCTGCCAATGTGGTGGAACAAGCCTCATACTGGACAGAGTTGATAGTCAGCTGTCACGGTCTCTCTAGTAAGCTGCAGTCAGATGTCCAGAGCCTGAATCAGTAGATTGTGTCTGCGTCCTGCACTAGTTAAGCATGCACATTCTCTTCTCTATTTATGTCTAGCTATATATATATATATATATATATATATATATATATACACACACTACATGACCAAAAGTATGTGGACACCTGCTATTCGAAACATCTGATTCCATAATCCCCCCCCCCCGCTATAACAGGCTTTCCACTAGATGTTGGAACATTGCTGCTGGGACTTCATCCACAAGAGCATTAGTGAAGTTGGGCATTGATGTTGGGCAAAAAGGCCTGGCTCACAGTCGGCGGGCCAATTCATCCCAAAGGTGTTTGATGGGGTTAAGGTCAGGGCTCTGTGCAGGCCAGTCAAGTTCTTCCACACCGATCTCGACAGACCATTTCTGTATGGACCTCCCCCAAACTGTTGCCACAAAGTTGGAAGCACAGAATTGTCTAGAATGTAATTGTATGCTGTAGCGTTAATATTTCCCTTTACTGGAACTAAGGGAACTAGCCTGATCCATGAAAAACAGCCCCAGACCATTATTCCTCCTCCACCATACTTTACAGTTGGCACTATGCATTGGGGCAGGTAGTGTTCTCCTGGCATCTGCCAAACCCAGATTCATCCGTCGGACTGCCAGATGGTGAAGCGTGATTCATCACTCCAGAGAACACATTTCCACTGCTCCAGATTCCAATGGCGACGAGCTTTACACCCCTCCAACCGACGCTTGGCATTGCGCATGGTGATCTTAGGCTTGTGTGCGGCTGCTCGGCCATGGAAACTCATTTCATGAAGCTGCTGATGAACAGTTCTTGTGCTGACAGTTTGGAACTCGGTAGGGAGTGTTGCAACCGAGGATAGACAATTTTTACATGCTACGCGCTTCAGCACTCGGCGGTCCCGTTCTGTGAGGTTGTGTGGCCTACCACTTTGTGGCTGAGCCGTTGTTGCTCCTCCTAGACGTTTCCACTTCACAATAACAGCACTTACAGCTGACCGGGGCAGCTCTAGCAGAGCATAAATTTGTTGGAAAGGGAGCATCCTATGACGGTGCCACGTTGAAAGTCACTGAGTTCTTTAGTAAGGCCATTCTGCTGCCAATGTTTATCTATGGAGATTGCATGGCTGTGTGCTCCATTTTATACACCTTTCAGCAATGAGTGTGGCTGAAACTATGAATATATATATATATATATATATATATATATATTTACACACATACGTGTCTATGAATAGACTATCTATACCCAACCAGCTTCCCTGGTGAGCAGCAGCACCCATCCCTGAGAGGAGTCCAGACATCACATGACATCAGATCAGGAGTCGGCCGACCCGGCTGAGCCTCTGGTGCTGCTAACGCAGGAGACATGGTCACACCACCTCGGCCCGGAGCGTCAACACCTGGTACAGTACTGTCACTACAGCTCTCTGCTCACACTGGTTTGGGTCTGGTATAGCAGATAACATGAAGGGCCAGGAGTTTTTCTCAGATATGTGACCTGACCAGTAAAAAACTAGTACCTAACTAGGACCCAGAGTTTTGGTCAGGAAAACCTACTAGCTCTAATCATTAGATATACAGTGGGGAAAAAAAGTATTTAGTCAGCCACCAATTGTGCAAGTTCTCCTGAGTGGCGCAGTGGTCTAAGGCACTGCATCGCAGTGCTAAACTGTGCCACTAGAGGAGTCCGGTTCGAATCCAGGCTCTGTCGCAGCGGGCCCGTTCCTGGGAGACTCATGGGCGGCGCACCATTGGGCCCGCGTCGTCCAGGGGTAGGGGAGGGATGGCCGGCAGGGATGTAGCTCAGTTGATAGGCATTGGCATTTGCAATGCCAGGGTTGTTGGTTCGATTCCCCCGGGGGCCAGTATAAAAAATAAAAAAAATGTATTCACTAACTGTAAGTCGCTCTGGATAAGTGCGTCTGCTAAATGACTAAAATGTAAATGTAATGTAAATACTTAAAAAGATGAGAGAGGCCTGTAATTTTCATCATAGGTACACTTCAAATATGACAGACAAAATGAGAAAAAAAAATCCAGAAAATCACATTGTAGGATTTTTAATGAATTTATTTGCAAATTATGGTGGAAAATAAGTATTTGGTCAATAACAAAAGTTTCTCAATACTTTGTTATATACCCTTTGTTGGCAATGACACAGGTCAAACGTTTTCTGTAAGTCTTCACAAGGTTTTCACACACTGTTGCTGGTATTTTGGCCCATTCCTCCATGCAGATCTCCTCTAGAGCAGTGATGTTTTGGGGCTGTCGCTGGGCAACACGGACTTTCAATTCCCTCCAAAGATTTTCTATGGGGTTGAGATCTGGAGACTGGCTAGGCCACTCCAGGACCTTGAAATGCTTCTTACGAAGCCACTCATTCGTTGCCCGGGCGGTGTGTTTGGGATCATTGTCATGCTGAAAGACCCAGCCACGTTTCATCTTCAATGCCCTTGCTGATGGAAGGAGGTTTTCACTCAAAATTACGAACAGGCCCCCAAAATTTTTTCCTTTTCAGGATCAGTCTTTTTTTGTCCCTTTGCAGAAAAAACAGCCCCAAAACATGTGTTTCCACCCCCGTTTTCACAGTTTTAGGTTGGGTTCTTGGGATGCAACTCACTTCTTTAAACTTAATCATAATTTTGGATATACTAAGCAGGTAAACCACACATTAGCTAACCAAGAGGGAATCCTGATTTTATATGTAAACTCTGTTACTAAGGTTAACTCTGCAGCCTCCAATAGCGGCCATTGTCCCTATAGAACTGAAACTTAACTTGTATGCACTAAAAAAAACACCCTAAAATAACTAACTTTATCAGTTAGCTAAGTTAGCTAAATTGACATGAATGCTCCATAAAGCCAGCTGACTGATCTTTAAACCCTGTCTGCCAATGTGGTGGAACAAGCCTCATACTGGACAGAGTTGATAGTCAGCTGTCACGGTCTCTCTAGTAAGCTGCAGTCGATGTCCAGAGCCTGAATCAGTAGATTGTTCTGCGTCGCACTAGTTAAGCATGCACATTCTTCTCTATTTATGTCTAGCTATTATTTATAATATATATAATATATACACACACTACATGACCAAAAGTATGTGGACACCTGCTATTCGAAACATCTGATTCCATAATCCCCCCCCCCGCTATAACAGGCTTTCCACTAGATGTTGGAACATTGCTGCTGGGAACTTCATCCACAAGAGCATTAGTGAAGTTGGGCATTGATGTTGGGCAAAAAGGCCTGGCTCACAGTCGGCGGGCCAATTCATCCCAAAGGTGTTTGAGGGGTTAAGGTCAGGGCTCTGTGCAGGCCAGTCAGTTCTTCCACACCGATCTCGACAGACCATTTCTGTATGGACCTCCCCCAAACTGTTGCCACAAGTTGGAAGCACAGAATTGTCTAGATGTAATTGTATGCTGTAGCGTTAATATTTCCCTTTACTGGAACTAAGGGAACTAGCCTGATCCATGAAAAACAGCCCCAGACCATTATTCCTCCTCCACCATACTTTACAGTTGGCACTATGCATTGGGGCAGGTAGTGTTCTCCTGGCATCTGCCAAACCCAGATTCATCCGTCGGACTGCCAGATGGTGAAGCGTGATTCATCACTCCAGAGAACACATTTCCACTGCTCCAGATTCCAATGGCGACGAGCTTTACACCCCTCCAACCGACGCTTGGCATTGCGCATGGTGATCTTAGGCTTGTGTGCGGCTGCTCGGCCATGGAACTCATTTCATGAAGCTGCTGATGAACAGTTCTTGTGCTGACAGTTTGGAACTCGGTAGGGAGTGTTGCAACCGAGGATAGACAATTTTTACATGCTACGCGCTTCAGCACTCGGCGTCCCGTTCTGTGAGGTTGTGTGGCCTACCACTTTGTGGCTGAGCCGTTGTTGCTCCTAGACGTTTCCACTTCACAATAACAGCACTTACAGCTGACGGGGCAGCTCTAGCAGAGCAGAAATTTGTTGGAAAGGGGCATCCTATGACGGTGCCACGTTGAAAGTCACTGAGTTCTTTAGTACAGGCCATTCTGCTGCCAATGTTTATCTATGGAGATTGCATGGCTGTGTGCTCCATTTTATACAACCTTTCAGCAATGAGTGTGGCTGAAACTATGAATATATATATATATATATATATATATATATATATTTACACACACACGTGTCTATGAATAGACTATCTATACCCAACCAGCTTCCCTGGTGAGCAGCAGCACCCATCCCTGAGAGGAGTCCAGACATCACATGACATCAGATCAGGAGTCGGCCGACCCGGCTGAGCCTCTGGTGCTGCTAACGCGGGAGACATGGTCACACCACCTCGGCCCGGAGCGTCAACACCTGGTACAGTACTGTCACTACAGCTCTCTGCTCACACTGGTTTGGGTCTGGTATAGCAGATAACATGAAGGGCCAGGAGTTTTTCTCAGATATGTGACCTGACCAGTAAAAAACTAGTACCTAACTAGGACCCAGAGTTTTGGTCAGGAAAACCTACTAGCTCTAATCATTAGATATAAGTCCTACACTGTGGATTGCTTCAAGGAGGAATGTGCAGTTGTTTGTAACTTGTAACACCCATAACTATTTTATCCCTCCTGCTGCTCAGAGCTTCAGTTAGTATTTAGCCATAGAGTCACAGTCTAAGCATGCCTTCTCTAGTGGCCTTGCAGGGAGAGCTAGAGAGGTTGAGAGAGTGAGTCAGTCAAATAGGGAAGGGTAAATGCAAACGAGAAAAACAGAGGTCAAGAGGGGATAGAGTAAGTAAAGAGGGAGAGAGAAAGGGGGGTGGCTTCCTATATGCTCTTGCATTGGTGCTCGTCTGGCCATGTGCCAGAGTACTAATCCTATTCAAACTATAACCACACACACACTGGGAGGCTCTTTGAGTGGCAGGGCCATGTGAGCTCTTTCACGTGCTATTCTGGGCAGGGGAGGAGTAAAGCGAGAGAGGAGGAGGGGAAAGCGAGAGGAGGGGAAAGCAAGGGTTAGTTTGGGGTCTTTTCTCTTTGTGCGTGAGAAGGGTGAGTTAGAGGAACTGTGTCTGAGTGTTGGTGAAGTGCTGCTTTGCTATTTTAGAGGCTGGTAGCGTAGTGAAGATGGGGTGCTGCTGCAGTAAGGAGCTGAGCCCAGGCCTGCTGAGTGAGAGGACCAGGCTGCTTCAGGCATCAAGCCCAGAGGCGCTGGGGGTCAAGCACCAGGACGGGCTACACACTAATGCCTTGGCTCAACTTGTGTCTGACCAACTGGCTCAACACACGTGTGTACCGGACGGACCGGCCAAACGGAAGCTTCAGGAACAGGAGAAGAAGAACAATGTCGTCCCGGACAAAGTGTCGACAGGCCCCAAGGCGAGGCATAGCGGTGTCAGCGGCATGCGGAGCGGGGGGCCACTCACTCCGCAACACTCACACGAGGAGGAACTTGCTATTATTAACGCCTCCACAGGCCCCAGCATGGTCACACAGACAAACACGGACACACACACACACATGGACTCAACGGAGGCAGGCATGCCACACACACACACTGCCAAGGCCAGCTGTGGGAATGTTCCATATATGGAGGGGAGCGTGAAGAGCCCATTAAAACAGAAGATAGCAGAGAACACCATGGATAATTCCGTTAGACAAAGGATACAGAGCACCATGGAGAACCCACCAAAACAGAAGATGGAGAAGACAATGGAGAACCTAGCAAGACAGATAGAGAAGACCATTCAGAACCCAGCCAGACAGAGGATAGAGAACACTGTTGAGAACCCAGAAAGACCAAGAATAGAGAAGAACCATTGAGAACCCAGAAAGACAGAAAATAGAGAACACAGTTGAGAGCCCAGTGAGACAGAGGATAGCGGAGAACGCCCTGCTCAGGTCTACCTGGTTCAGCCAGACCCCGGAGCCCGGCCAGGAAGAGACAGAGGGCTGGGGAACCCCCCTGGTCGGAACATCCCCAACCCAACAGCTGTATGACTTCAGAGCTGGGGGGGATTCCGCCAGTGTAGGGCCAGAGGAAGATGAGGAGGAAGACTGTGTCATCAGGGCAACCCTGGGGCGGGGTTTCAGGGCCAGAGCTCAGAGTTTCTACAGCATCTGTTCCATCGATGCTGACGACCTCGTCACTGACCAATCTCACACAGAGGAATATATAGCCTTTATCCAATCACACACAGCGGAACCTACAGCAATCCAATCACACATAGCCAAACCTACATCCTCTATTCAATCACACGTAGCCGAACATACAACCTCTATCCAGTCACACGTAGCCGAACCTACAGCTTTCCAATCATACACAGCCGAACCTACAGCTATCCAATCACATTCAGAGGAACATACAGCCTCTATCCAATCACACGCAGAAGAACCTAAAGCCAATGACCAATCACACAGAGTGGAACCTGCAAAGGCTGACCTATCGCACATAACGGAACCCAAGGCTTCTGAACCCCTGGCTTCCGAGCAATCAAAAACAGTTGAATTTACAGCCATCGACCAATCACAAACATTGGAACCTATGGCCTTTGACAAATCCCATGGTGAGCCCCCCGAGGTACTTGTTCTGCCGGACCTTCTCTGGAGAAGCTATGAGGACCCACAGGCTTCACAACAGGACAGCCCCATCGCCCCCAGAGACGCCAGGACCCCACCACTAACTGGAGACATTACAGATCCCGACATACTTGAGCTGACATCACGCCAGGAGGAGAGTGTGTGTGTGAAGGACGAGAATGTGTGTGTTAAGAAGAGAGGTCTTTTGTCCACAGTGAAGACTGTTGATAGCAGCCAGGAAGGAGAAAACGCAAAGAGGGATTTGAACCTCCATGATACCCATAACTATATTCCCACCCCCACATACCCCTGCCCACCTAACCTTACCCTTACAGAGGAGCAGCTCACACCCAGCCCCAGCCCTAGCTCTAGTCCTAGCCCCAAATCCAGCCCCCTGTTTGGGGCATTGGATGGGGCCACATGTGTAGAGGGGATTGAGGTATACCAACCTGTCTCAGTGAGTGTGATCAGTGAGGGGCTGAGAAGAGAGACAGATAAGGAGGAGGAGGAGACCATACTCAGCAGCACATTGGAAACCACACTAACAGAGGTATCACCAGTCTCCACACTCTCCTCACTATCCACAGTCTACCCAGTCTACGCAGTGTCTCTACCCATTGACTTTACTGTCCACTCATTCAAATCTGATCTTAGACCAGTGGATATGGAACATGAAGTTGGAACAAAACCTGATCAGTATGATACTACTTCTGACAGCAACGCCAAGCCTGACCAAAACATAACACACGTGTATATTGAGAGACCTGATAGGGATTATGTAAAACCTACTGGAAATAACAGAAGCCCTGTTGATGACTCAGAGCTCACTGATTGGCCAGTCCAGGCTGAGGTTATAGTGGGAAGGTCTGCAGCAACAGAGAAGGAGCTGGAAACCAGTGTGGAACAGACACACTGGCAGGAAATGGCTGCCATCACCAGTCACCCCACAAGAGAGAGCAGCCATCCTTCAAAGAATTGTAGAGAGGACAGAGAGAGCAGCCATATTTCTCAGGGTTGTGAGGACAGCGAGAGCGGCCATCTCTCTGAGGAAAGAGGAGGCTCTACTCCTGCCCCTCAGGACCTGCCTAGCGAGGACACTCACTTAAAGCCCTGCAAAGGTTCTTCATCCTCCTTGTCCCATTTCCTCTCTATAGGTTCAGAAGGGAGAGATGGGAGGTTGAGTTCAGAGAGAGGAACTGAACCCACTGACTGCAGAAAGCTGTCTGAGAAGAACACAGAGGACGGAACACACACCGAGGACGGAACACACACCGAGGACGGAACACACACCGAGGACGGAACACACACCGAGGACGGAACCCACACCGAGGACGGAACACACACCGAGGACGGAACACACACCGAGGACGGAACCCACACCGAGGACGGAACCCACACCGAGGACGGATCCCACACCGAGGACGGAACCCACACCGAGGACGGAACACACACCGAGGAAGGAACACACACAGAGGACGGAACACACACCGAGGACGGAACACACACCGAGGACGGAACCCACACCGAGGACGGAACCCACACCGAGGACGGAACCCACACAGAGGACGGAACCCACACCGAGGACGGAACACACACCGAGCAAGGAACACACACCGAGGACGGAACACACACCGAGGACGGAACACACACCGAGGACGGAACCCACACTGACAAAAGGGAAGAGATACACACTGACAACTGTGAAGAAACAGCTATATGGAGTCATGTTGGGACACAAAAAGACAGGGACGTAAAGAGCACAGACACACACACTGGGAGTAGAATATCCCTCCTAGAGGAATGTGTTGCAACAGACAGCCTCAGTAGTGTGTGTAGTGTAGGAAAACACACTGACAGTAGTTTAGAGACACTCCCTGAGGACACTGAGTGTAGTGACATAGCAACAACTGACAGTGTGTGTGTCACCCCTGTTTTCCCCCCTGTGACATTTGGATTCAGCCCATTTGATGAACCCCTGAAGTTCGGTTGCCACGGCGATGACTGCTCAGATGTGGACTACCCTGTAGACGATGCAACGATGGCAGATTCCTATTTGTTGGCGGGAGTGCTGGGGGTGGAGCCTGATCAGATTGACGTTTACGCCTCTACCCCCTCTTACCAGATACAGTTCCTGGATCAGGGGTCACTGGCTGTCACCACGGAGATGGGCACTGTAGGGGTGAGAGGACAGGTCGAGGAAGGGGGCATGATAGACATGGTGTCAGAACTGCTGGGAGAGGAAGGGGACCCCACCCTCTCTGGCCTCTACCCCTCTCCCTGGATGCAGTCAGGGCCAGGGCTGGTAGAGGGAGAGGGCTGTGGAGGATGGGCCCAGAGGCTGGCACAGGGTATGGTCCCCAGCCAGGGAGAGGGTGAGGAGGGCTGCGAGGAGGAGCAGCCCCCTAGCTCCATGGCCCTGCTGGGAGTCTACCCCACCTACAGCACTCTTCTGCCCCAGGACTCTTGTCTCTGGGAATGGCACCATCAGTACCAGCCTGTGAGTACTTCAGCGGTGTGTGTGTGTGAACTGTACTGGTGAGCAAACACACATACAGTGCATTCGGAAAGTATTCAGACCCCTTCACTTTTTCCACATTTTGTTACTTTACAGCCTTATTCTAAAATGGATTAAATTGTTTTTTTTCCCTCATCAATCTACACACAATAACCCATAATGACAAAGCAAAAACAGTTTTTTTGAAATGTTTGCAAATGTATTAAAAACAAAAAACTGAAATATCACATTTACATAAGTATTCAGACCCTTTACTCAGTACTTTGTTTAAGCACCTTTGGCAGCGATTACAGCCTCAAGTCTTCTTGGGTATGATGCTACAAGTTTGGCACACCTGTATTTCGGGAGTTTCTCCCATTCTTCTCTGCAGATCCTCTCAAGCTCTGTCAGGTAGGATGGGGAGCGTCGCTGCACAGCTATTTTTAGGTCTCTCTAGAGATGTTCGATCGGGCTCAAATCCGGGCTCTGGCTGGGCCACTCAAGAACATTCAGAGACTTCTCCCGAAGCCACGCTTGTGTTGTCTTGGCTGTGTGCTTAGGGTTGTTGTCTTGTTAGAAGGTGAACCTTGGCCCAAGTCTGAGGTCCTGAGCGCTCTGGAGCAGGTTTTCATCAAGGTTGTCTCTGTACTTTGCTCCGTTCATCTTTCCCTCGATCCTGACTAGTCTCCCAGTCCCTGCCGCTGAAAAACATCCCCACAGCATGATGCTGCCACCACCATGCTTCACCGTAGGGATGGTGCCAGGTTTCCTCCAGACGTGACGCTTGGCATTCAGGCCAAAGAGTTCAATCTTGGTTTCATCAGACCAGAGAATCTTGTTTCTCATGGTCTGAGAGTCCTTTAGGTGCCTTTTGGCAAACTCCAAGCAGGCTGTCATGTGCCTTTTACTGAGGAGTGGCTTCCATCTGGCCACTCTACCATAAAGGCCTGATTGGTGGAGTGCTGCAGAGATGGTTGTCCCTCTGGAAGGTTCTCCCATCTCCACAGAGGAACTCTGGAGCTCTGTCAGAGTGACCATTGGGTTCTTGGTCACCTCCCTGACCAAGGACCTTCTCCCCCGATTGCTCATTTAGGCCAGGTGGCCAGCTCTAGGAAGAGTCTTGGTGGTTCCAAACTTCTTCAATTTAAGAATGATGGAAGCCACTGTGTACTTGGGGACCTTCAATGCTGCAGAAATGTTTTGGTACCCTTCCCCATATCTGTGCCTCGACACAATCCAGTCTCGGAGCTCTACGGACAATTCTTTCGACCTCATGGCTTGGTTTTTGCTCTGACATGCACTGTCAACTGTGGGACCCTACATAGACAGGTGTGTGCCTTTCCAAATCATGTCCAATCAATTGAATTTACCACAGGTGGACTCCAATCAAGTTGTAGAAACATCTCAAGGATGATCAATGGAAACAGGATGCACCTGAGCTCAATTTCGAGTCTCATAGCAAAGGGTCTGAATACTTATGTAAATAAGGTATTTATATTTCTTATTTTATTTTACATTTCCTAAAATCTCTAAAAACCTCTTTTCACTTAGTCAATATGGGTTATTGTGTGTAGATTGATGAGGAAAAAATAATTTAATCAATTTTAGAATAAGGCTGTAATGTTTTACAAAATATGGATAAAGGGAAGGGGTCTAAATACTTTCAGAATTTTGCTATTGTCAGTTTGCTATTGTTTAAAGACACACTGAGGTTGTGTGTGTGTTCTCTTGCAGGAATCCACCCTGGTCTCTGAGCTCAACCCCAACGCTCAGGTATGGGCCAATCACATGCTTAGCCTGGACCCCTCAGGCCCCATCTACACTGACTCCCTCCTACCATGGCTTGGTGTGCACAGTCACCTTGATAACCAGGAAGGTAAGCATGTGGAAGTAGAGAGCGTATGGAACAACGCCTAGCCCTTAATCCAGAGGTGGAAAGAGCTACTGGGTGTGGAGGCTTTTTCTTTGGCTTATTTCTGTGTCAATCTAGTAAATGGCGCTACCTGATTGGTCCTCAGGGTATGAGCAGGGCTATGACCTGGAGGAAGTGGGTGAGGCTCAGCTGGAACCAAGCGTTGTAGAATTCCCGACGGTCTCAGCCAATGGCCTGGTCCAGGACAGCTGTAAATCAGGTAGTAACGTTACCGGCTGATGGAGCTTAGAGCAAACAAGACTGTTTATCAGATGACGTCTGATACAAACATGATATGTTATTGATGTTGTTATTGTTGTTTTCAGAGGAGCTCATCGATCAGCTGAAGACCTCACTGGAGTCCTGTCTGTCACGGTACGTCTGTGTCACAGGTGGCTGATGGCACCTTAAAGAGCAACTGCCCCTAAAAATCAACTTCTCATTTTGAAAATGGTCTATGTGGCATCGATATGAGTCAGAAACATTTATTCTAGACTACAAAGTGTAAATATGGTCAGTTTGGTCATAGTCAGTCTCGTCCAACTGAGATTTGCGAGATGATAGGAGAAAATGGTATGTTACGGAATTAAGAGTACCGTAAGAGTGGTCAATTTGGCTTGACATTCGATATCACTATGGGGCTAGTTAGGGACCATCAGTAAATTTAAACAATGGAACAATATTTTAAAAGGTGAGTAGCTCCAAATTTCAATGACTTAAAAACCTCAAACCAACTATAAATTGTAGAAAGTCATATACAAATATTGAAAGCAATTAACAAGACAACTAAAAGATGTGCAACATGAAAATATTGTCCCATTTACATTGCATAGTTTGACGGTCCCTAACTATCCCCAGAGATAAGCTATCCAAAGTCAAACCAACTATGCCATGGTTGCACACCAAACGGCTGAAGCCAATTGGCAAAATGATTTGGCTAACTCTTCACACCTGCGAACACACACGAGACACCCACATCAAACCACACCCCGAAACCAACTCACGTTTGAATTCAGTCATGGCCGCTAGAATTTCTTAATTAACCAAATCTAAAACGAAGCCAAATCAGGAAGTGTAGTCGACCTTTAATTGGGAAGGTCCGGCTCATAGTAATGGCTGGAATGGAATGGTATCCAAAACATGGTTGTGTTGGATACCATTCCATTTACTCCATTCCAGGCATTATTATAAGACTTCCTCCCCTAACCAGCTTCCTGTGGTCTGTGTGATTGGGCAGTTAGGGTAGTTTCTGATTGGGCAGTGAAGGGTAGTTTGTTATTGGTCGGTAGGCAGTGAGTTTTTTAAAAAACTGATTGGCTGATGTCCCCTCAGGGAGAACCTGGCCAACGACCTCTACCTCGTCTCCCAGATGGACAGCGACCAGTTCATTCCCATAGCAACACTAGCCAACCTCGAACACATCAAGAAGCTCAGCACGGACTTGGAGCTCATCTCTGACATCCTCAAGTGTGAGTTAACTTTTTTAGTGTGTGTATGTATGTGGGTTAGTTGTTGTATTGTATTACATGATTGGGTAAGATGTTTACTTGGAGGGAAGGCTCTGATCATGTCCTGTCTCCTGATTGGATCGTAGCCTTGCCGCTGGTGGACGTGGCAGAATGCGGGCAAAAGGTACGGCCCAATCAGGGTCGCTGTATCGTCATCCTCCGAGAGGTTCCGGAGACCACACCCCCAGAGGTAAGAACCCGCCTGTTAGAAACCTGTCTTAGTCCATGGGCCAGCTGAAAAATGTCCACTTTGGGGTGGCAAAGGTATTATGGAATTCAATTGTCCCCCACAAGCCTCTGATCAAATTGATATATGATAGCCTCTCCATAAAAGTAGCTTTCTATGTTTTTCACACCATTATACATCTTGTTGTATGGGAGTCTATGCAATAGAATGTTTGCAGACTGATAAAGGAATGTTGAGACAAGTTGGAATGGTCACATGCTCATTGAAAATGACTGTAGGTTGTTATCAATAAAATGTCACAATACTGTGCAGAGCGTTCGATTTGCAAGGAGACCCCCAGCTCCGCTAAAACCATAGACAACTACGTGCCGTTTTCAAGGGATTGTTAAATAAGCTATTTGGTTTAAATATCATCACTTCTTGAAGAGCATAGTCAGAACTACACATTTCTGATTATTCCACATTTAGCTCTATCATCAGCATTATACAGCAAGTAACTGCATGCTTTTCATGATCAGCCAACATCAATTGATCATATAATTTCAGATACGTGAGGGTACCGTATCCATTTGGCATGTAGCTAGCTAAGCAAACAACGTGTCAATCTTGCGTCATCAGAGATTAGGCTTTTGGAAAGAGCTAGACATCCGAATGTTATTTGTATGGGGGATACAATCTTCCCAGCTCTGCAGATTTGGCTGTGAAGAGACAGAATCATTAGATCATTTGTTTTGGTACTGTCCATTTGTAGCTTGTTTCTGGACACAGGTCCAGGAATGGCCGAAGGATTGCAATATTTGCATGGAGCTGACCCTGCAGATAGCACTACTGGGTGATCTGAAAAGTCATAGTCAATCGATCAATAATATAATAATACAATAATAAAAGCTTATTTCTCTTCAATTATGTGCACACATTTGTTTACATCCCTGTTAGTGAGCATTTTACTTTTGCCAAGAAATCCATCCACCTGACAGGTGTGGCATATCAAGAAGCTTGATGATTACACAGGTGCACCTTGTGCTGGGGACAATAAAAGGCCACTCTAAAATGTGCAGTTTTGTCACACAACACAATGCCACAGATGTCTCGACGGCAGGAATATCCACCAGAGTTGTTGCCAGAGAATTGAATGTTCATTTTTCTACCATAAGCCACCTCCAACGTCGCTTTAGAGAATTTAGCAGTACGTCCAACCGGACTAAATATCGCAACCACGTGTAACCACACCAGCCCAGGACCTCCATATCCGGCTTCATCACATGCGGGATCGTCTGAAACCAGCCACCCGGACAATTGATGAAACTGAGGAGTATTTCTGTCTGTAATAAAGTCCTTTTGTGGGGAAAAACTCATTCTGATTGTCTGGGCCTGGCTCCCCAGTGGGTGGGCCTGGCTCCCAAGTGGGTGGACCTATGCCTCTGCCCAGTCATGTGAAATCTATAGATCAGGGCCTAATGAATTTATTTCAATTGACTGATTTCCTTATATGAACTGTAACTCAGTAAAATCGTCAATTGTTGCATGTTGTGTTTATATTTTTGTTCAATATAGTTTATCCCCTGAAAGTTAGCTTGTTAACAAGCCATATTGACGTCATTTGTTATTAGCTACAGTGAGGGAAAAAAGTATTTGATCCCCTGCTGATTTTGTACGTTTGCCCACTGACAAAGACATGATCAGTCTATAATTTTAATGATAGGTTTATTTGAACAGTGAGAGACAGAATAACAACAAAAAAATCAAGAAAAACGCATTTCAAAAATGTTATACATTTATTTGCATTTTAATGAGGGAAATAAGTATTTGACCCCTCTGCAAAACATGACTTAGTACTTGGTGGCAAAACCCTTGTTGGCAATCACAGAGGTCAGACATTTCTTGTAGTTGGCCACCAGGTTTGCACACATCTCAGGAGGGATTTTGTCCCATTCCTCTTTGCAGATCTTCTCCAAGTCATTAAGGTTTCGATCCTGACGTTTGGCAACTCGAACCTTCAGCTCCCTCCACAGATTTTCTATGGGATTAAGGTCTGGAGACTGGCTTGGCCACTCCAGGACCTTAATGTGCTTCTTCTTGAGCCACTCCTTTGTTGCCTTGGCCTTGTGTTTTGGGTCATTGTCATGATGGAATACCCATCCACGACCCATTTTCAATGCCCTGGCTGAGGGAAAGAGGTTCTCACCCAAGATTTGACGGTACATGGCCCCATCCATTGTCCCTTTGATGCGGTGAAGTTGTCCCCTTAGCAGAAAAACACCCCCAAAGCATAATGTTTGCACCTCCATGTTTGATGGTGGGGATGGTGTTCTTGGGGTCATAGGCAGCATTCCTCCTCCTCCAAACACGGCGAGTTGAGTTGATGCCAAAGAGCTCCATTTTGGTCTCATCTGACCACAACACTTTCACCCAGTTCTCCTCTGAATCATTCAGATGTTCATTGGCAAACTTCAGACAGGCCTGTATATGTGCTTTCTTGAGCAGGGGGACCTTGCAGGCGCTGCAGGATTTCAGTCCTTCACGGCGTAGTGTGTTACCAATTGTTTTCTTGGTGACTATGGTCCCAGCTGCCTTGAGATCATTGACAAGATCCTCCCGTGTAGTTCTGGGCTGATTCCTCACCGTTCTCATGATCATTGCAACTCCACGAGGTGAGATCTTGCATGGAGCCCCAGGCCGAGGGAGATTGACAAATCTTTTGTGTTTCTTCCATTTGCGAATAATCGCACCAACTGTTGTCACCTTCTCACCAAGCTGCTTGGCGATGGTCTTGTAGCCCATTCCAGCCTTGTGTAGGTCTACAATCTTGTCCCTGACATCCTTGGAGAGCTCTTTGGTCTTGGCCATGGTGGAGAGTTTGGAATCTGATTGATTGATTGCTTCTGTGGACAGGTGTCTTTTATACAGGTAACAAGCTGAGATTAGGAGCACTCCCTTTAAGAGTGTGCTCCTAATCTCAGCTCGTTACTTGTATAAAAGACACCTGGGAGCCAGAAATCTTTCTGATTGAGAGGGGGTCAAATACTTATTTCCCTCATTAAAATGCAAATCAATTTATAACATTTTTGACATGCATTTTTCTGGATTTTGTTGTTGTTATTCTGTCTCTCACTGTTCAAATAAACCTACCATTAAAATTATAGACTGATCATGTCTTTGTCAGTGGGCAAACGTACAAAATCAGCAGGGGATCAAATACTTTTTTCCCTCACTGTAGGTAGCCAATTTGACGTGGTCCATCAATCAGTGTAGCCTATCATGTCTGTCAGCAGCTATACGTGAAAATAATGTTGAAAAGGGTATCATGTTAGCTAACTAGGTAGGCCTACATTAATTGGATAAAAAAGTACATTCGGTCTACTTACCACTATGTTTAGCCAACTGTGTAAAGTTTCTACCGGTAGCTTGCAAAGTAAATATCAGCTAACAGTACATCGGCAAATGCACCCTTCTAGTGCTTGGCAGACAGAGCCCACAAAGGATGGGGAAATTAACCTAAACCACGCATACTTGTCAGTTATAGTTCACGTTTATTTTAAATAAATATCAAATTAATGGTGGCCAATATTGACAGATATCGTGAGGCTACCCTGAAATTACATGATCAATTGATGTTTACTGAACATGAAAAGCATGCAGTTGCTTGCTGTATAACTCTGATGATGGAACTAAATGTGTGCAATTGTTTTGCATGGAATAATCTGAAATTTCTAGTTCTGACTATGCTGTTCAATGTTTACATACTGTTTTACCCACTTCATATGTATATACTGTATTCTAGTCAAGGCCTATCCTATTTAACTATTGATGTACACATACTATTCTATCCTAAATATTCCACAGATATACTACATATTCTTTCCATATAGTTCTGTCCATAATGTCTATACATCCCATCATATACATATACAGTGGGGAGAACAAGTATTTGATACACTGCCAATTTTGCAGATTTTCCTACTTACAAAGCATGTAGAGGTCTGTAATTTTTATCATATGTACACTTCAACTGTGAGAGACGGAATCTAAAACAAAAATCCAGAAAATCACATTGTATGATTTTTAAGTAATTAATTTGCATTTTATTGCATGACATAAGTATTTGATACATCAGAAAAGCAGAACTTAATATTTGGTACAGAAACCTTTGTTTGCAATTACAGAGATCATACGTTTCCTGTAGGTCTTGACCAGGTTTGCACACACTGCAGAAGGGATTTTGGCCCACTCCTCCATACAGACCTTCTCCAGATCCTTCAGGTTTCGGGGCTGTCGCTGGGCAATACGTACTTTCAGCTCCCTCCAAAGATTTTCTATTGGGTTCAGGTCTGGAGACTGGCTAGGCCACTCCAGGACCTTGAGATGCTTCTTACGGAGCCACTCCTTAGTTGCCCTGGCTGTGTGTTTCGGGTCATTGTCATGCTGGAAGACCCAGCCACGACCCATCTTCAATGCTCTTACTGAGGGAAGGAGGTTGTTGGCCAAGATCTCGCGATACATGGCCCCATCCATCCTCCCCTCAATACGGTGCAGTCGTCCTGTCCCCTTTGCAGAAAAGCATCCCCAAAGAATGATGTTTCCACCTCCATGCTTCACGGTTGGGATGGTGTTCTTGGGGTTGTACTCATCCTTCTTCTTCCTCCAAACACGGCGAGTGGAGTTTAGACCAAAAAGCTCTATTTTTGTCTCATCAGACCACATGACCTTCTCCCATTCCTCCTCTGGATCATCCAGATGGTCATTGGCAAACTTCAGACGGGCCTGGACATTACATTTACATTTTAGTCATTTAGCAGACGCTCTTATCCAGAGCGACTTACAGTTAGTGAATAATATTTATTATTATTATTATTATTATTATTATTTATTTTTTATACTGGCCCCCCATGGGAAAGACATGCGCTGGCTTGAGCAGGGGGACCTTGCGTGCGCTGCAGGATTTTAATCCATGATGGCGTAGTGTGTTACTAATGGTTTTCTTTGAGACTGTGGTCCCAGCTCTC